TCCTATATGATACAGGAAGCCAATGTAAGGACTGACAGAAAGGTGACGTGTGAGAGGAGCGACTGGAGAGGAAAATCAGTCTGGCGGCAGCATTCATTACAGACTATAGCCGAGCAATGGCTTCTGGGGAGACAAATTAGTAGAGGGTTAAAAGTGATGAATATAAATAGAATGATGAAAGTGATGTAATATAAATACTATTTGTGAAGGGTACAGATTAATCTTACCCAATCAAATTTTTGCCCAATATGGTAGCACAGATCACAAGGCATTAACATAATTAATTAATCCTCAGGTTCCACTCCCCACATCCACTATCATTTCCCAAGAGCCAAAAGATCCTCAGGAACTTTCATTACATCATTGGCTGAGAGCATTCAGCTTATGACCTACTAGCCGGGAGATGGTAGTGGGCAGGGCCAGACTGGGACAAAAATTCAGCCCAGGCATCTAAAGGCAGAGCAACCCTAAGAAGTCCACGGCCCTATCTAAAGTGGGCATATCTGTTTAATGTCCCTCAGGGCAGCCCACGTGTAGTGTGGGGGAGATAGGGGATGTGTGTGGGGGAGAGAATAGGGAATGTTGTATCAGGGAGATAGGAGATATAGCTGCTGTGTGAGAGGGGCTGCTGGGAGAGGGGGGATATGAGGCTGCTGGGTGTGAGGGGACAAGGGGCTGCTGTCTGAGAGGGGGCAGGGGTTGCTGGCTGAGGGGGGGGAGCAGGGGGCTGCTGGCTGAGAGGGGCAAAAGCTGCTGGCTGTGAGTTGGGCAGGGGGCTGCTGGCTGTGAGTGGGGGCCTGAGAGGGGGGGCAGGGGTTGCTGGCTGAGAGGGGGGCAGGGGTTGCTGGCTGAGATGGGGAGCAGGGGGCTGCTGGCTTAGAGGGGCAGAAGCTGCTGGCTGTAAGTTGGGCAGGTGGCTGCTGGCTGTGAGTGGGGACAGCCAGTTAGAGAGTGGGGCAGAGATTTTTGCTCTCTTTACCAGCCACAGAGCTCCCTCTATGCGCTGGATGTCAGGTAGCACCAGCCCTAAGAAGCCGTCCGGGAATATCCCTTGATCTCCCCTGTCAGCTTCAGCCCAGGGCCATCGCGATATACCGGGCATTTGCCCGGTTTACCCGATGGCCAATCTGGATCTGGTAGTGGGGGTGAAGTAGTGCCCGGCAGACCACAAGTAAGAAATCAAACCATTCAAAAATCATTAACAGCTGTGAGAGGGTATTGTGTATGCAGTTTGTAAAGTTACATTTTTGAGGTTAGCCTGCGTGAGTGTTGGGATGCTTTTAATATTGTGGGTTTGTAGAGACTCAAGCATAGACTGGCATGTCTGTGGTGATGCATGTGTGTTGGGATGCTGAGTTCGGTATTGTGTTAAGGGGATACTACCAAGTAGACCAAGACGACAGCACAGAAAGATATTTAAACCCAGGATAGTGACCATTGACAATACATCAGGGGAATCAGCCTCTGAAAGTGATAACGTGGAATCCACCATTACCCCATCCTCGTCACTGTTTTTAGGGGTCCCAGAAATAGATACCTCCATCAGGAGCTGAAGAAAAGAACACGTAGAACCAGAAGAGGCCGTGGGAATAAGAAGCATGCCAAAGGGCAAGCCACCACACAGGAAGTGATTTCAATATTTAACTTGTCCCATAGACCATTAAAGGACCACTATAGTGCCAGGAAAACATACTCATTTTGCCCCCACCCTCAGGGTCCCCCTCCCGCCTGGCTCTGGAAAGGGGTTTAAACTTACCTTTTTCCAGCGCTGGGCGGGGAGCTCTCCTCCTCCGATCCTCCTCTTCTCCTCCCCGTCGGCTGAATGCGCACGCGCGGCAAGAGTTGCGCGCGCATTCAGCCGGTCACATAGGAAAGCATTCACAATGCTTTCCTATGGACGCTGGCGCTCTCACTGTGAAAATCACAGTGAGAAGCACGCAAGCGCCTCTAGTGGCTGTCAATGAGACAGCCACTAGAGGCTTTGGGGAAGGCTTAACCCATTCATAAACATAGCAGTTTCCCTGAAACTGCTATGTTTATGAAAAAATGGGTTAACCCTAGCTGGACCTGGCACCCAGACCACTTCATTAAGCTAAAGTGGTCTGGGTGCCTAGAGTGGTCCTTTAATCCAGGATAAAATTGATCTATTAAGCCGGGGATTATCATTTGTACCCATGGCTAAATCAAATAAATTCAATGGAACATTGAATGGTACAAGTTTGGCAGGAATATGCGTCTAAAAGAGTACTTCAATCAACTAGAAAAAGCCCCAATAAGTGCCAGTAATGAAGCAATGGAAAAATTTCAACCTAGATCCACTTTTGATCCAGCAACAAACAAATCCTCAGTTAAAACCTTCTTACCCATGACCAACAAGAAAGCATATGAAATTATGTCCAAACGAGGTAGCACACGACACAACATCACTACACATCAACGACAACTACTTAAAAACCTTGGATAGGGATCTATATATTAACTATATACACTTATTAACTGAATTAAGCCATAGTTGTTACTATATCACAATGGATTTATTCTTGGTAGCAGACTTGTAAAGGGTTGCTTTAAGACAAGCCTGGGCTTTATGACACTTTTTTCCAAGAGTTATTACTTTACCTTTGGATTCAAAAATGAATTGTGTTAAAGGACCACTATAGTGCCAGGAAAACATACTTGTTTTCCTGGCACTATAGTGCCCTGAGGGTGCCCCCACCTTCAGGGACCCCCTCCTGCCGGGCTCTGGGGAGAGGAAGGGGTTAAAAACTCACCTTTCTCCAGCGCCAGGCGGGGAGCTCTCCTCCTCCTCTCCGCTTCCTCTCCTCCTCTTCGGGTGAATGCGCATGCGCGGCAGGAGCTGAGCGCGCATTCAGCCAGTCTCATAGGAAAGCATTTACAATAACTTGATAAAGAAACATACATGCAACACAATACTATAAATTCATTTACAATGCTTTCCTATGGACGCTTGCGTCTACTCACTGTGATTTTTAATCTTTACTAGGTACTTTGTCACTTTATAAGATTACTTGTTTTTAAATCAAAGCAACTGAGGTTGCCATAATAGATTCAGCACAATGTATTATACATTCTAATATGCACTTTATCTTTCATTTACTCACTCCCTTTTATTCCTTAGAACGAGCACACACATTGTTAGTGGAACCGCAACCCTATTTGCATGGCGACCACGTTTGTGCCGCGTCGCAATGGAAACGGATGCGATGACGGCACGTCACGACATCAGGGGGCGGAGCCTCTTTGCACATGCGCACTGAGCCAGATAGAATGCCAATCAGGATTGCACTTCACCTGGGGGTAAGCCAATAAGGTTAATGTATTTTATTCGTTTTTTTAAAAACACCTAATCTAGGCAACAAATAATGGAGGTTTAGTTACATTATATGATCATACATCACATAAGCCTGCCACACCGTCAATGTACCCCATCTTTGGCAGGTTCTACTCTAACAGGCTAATGTCTGCTCTTATAAGATTAACCCACTTACTTGGAGAAAAAATTCCATCTGGGGCTCTCTGCAGTACAAGGCTAAATAGGGCTCTGGGATGAGGCACCTGTGAAAGGGAGGGGTGCAAAAACAAGGAGTTGGCTAGACTCCCAAATATATAAATATACATGAAACAGGGGGGGAAGGCTGCACTCACCTGAAAAAAAACACCATATTGTGGTCACTGTTTCTCAAGTGCTCCCTTACTTGAATGTTTGACAGAAGGTCAACTTTGTTTGTTAAAACCAGATCCAGACAAGCATCCTTTCTAGTTGGTGCAGAAAATACTTTTACATATACAAAAGTGTTATTTTTTTTTTTAAAGTGTTCATGTTTAAGTATTGTCTGCACTATGATTGTCTTTCTCCTTACGATGTATTTTCATGGGAAGAGAGAAGAAAAGAAGGCTTTATCCTTAAAGATACTATTATGAGCCTGCAATCAATTAAACTCTTCGGAGTGCAATATATTCTCCATTGCCGTTTGGAGCCATATAATTTTACACTGTTGCGTACTCCTAACATGCGCACAGTCGTAATTCGGCTTGTGGCATATTTAACCCCCCAAAAATCTGCCAATAAACACAGACACCGTATTTCTGTTGGAAATATAAAAGTCCACAGCTTTATTTTATTATAATCAAAACAAGATAGCAAATTGGGGTCATTGCCGCATAATAATAATTTACTACCATCCCCTTCCGCACAAAATTACCCCTGGCAATGACCCCATACCATAAACAATATATAACAATATAAATAACACATATATATAACACACGGCCCACCAAAGAGGCCCCATAACCATAACTTCCTTAACTGTAGGGGTGTACCAAGACCACTTACCACTCTGGCCTAATCCAGCCTAATCTTAGCCTAGCCACTTGATACTCCTCTTCCATCCCCATTATCCAAGCCCTATCCCGCCGCTGTGACCAAATGGGAAACCTTCAGACTGGGGAGGGTGGGAGGGACAATTTATAGGTAAGTGCAGATTCTGATTAAAATGGCCACTTGCTAAAATGGCTGCTTAATATACTCCTATCTACTCCACCCCTTTTACACCCCATTCCTAATACCCACCCCTAATTCTTTAACTCCACCTGCCTACTCCTTGGCTCTGTCAAGGCCCACTCCCCTGACTGCGCTGTTCCATGGGCTTCATTTTTTCTATTTTAGATTTTATTTTTTATGTGGCATGAAGGTGTCTAGATGCAGACAAAAAACTAAGAAACTCAAACCTGACAAACCCAGACTGGACTTGCACATTGACGAACTCTGGCGGCAGGCCCAGGGCGCAACCAGCTCCAAAATGGCATCCATACATGGCGGATGCTCAGACTTTTATGATGAAACGTCAGATGAAGCAGAGGAGACGACCCCTCCGGCCCAACCACAGCAGCCTCCGAATCGGAGACAGCCCGAGCCGACCACGGTAAAACCCACGCCGGTGAGCATGGAGGCAATTAGAGAATTGATGGCAGACCACCACAAAAAAATCTCGGCCGAGGTGGCTTCAATCCGGGAGGCCTTACAGGGCATAGGCGGCAGGCTCGGGGTCATGGAGACCCCTATAGAAACCCACAACTACCAAATACAGGAGCTGCAGCACGCAATTAAAGAGCTCAAACAGCAGAACCAAATGACTGAGCTGAAACTCTCCACAATGGAAGACAAACGCCGCCTGAAACACCTAAAGATCAGAGGTGTTAAGCATGATATACCTGATGCAGAGCTACCACACTTTGCACACAGGCTCATCACAGCATTGTTGACCCCGAAGTCTGCCAAGGCAGTGACGCTGGAGGGCATGTTCCCCATCCCAAAGTCGGCTACAGCCCCAGCCACGGCTACAAAGAACGTGATCCTACAATTCCAGACCCAGTGGGACAGAACCGCTGTCTTGATAGCTGCCAGAGAACACCCAACCTACCTTTTCGAAGAAATGACCCTCGGGTTCTATTCGGATCTCTCTGGAGCCACACTGGTGTGGAGAAGAGCCCTGCAGCCATTTACCGCCCAACTGTGAAAGCACCAAGTGAAGTACTGCTGGGGCCCTGTGCACACCCTGCAGGTCACCAAAGGCGACACTACTCTCATCTTTTGGTCCCTGCAGGAGGCAACAGAGGCCCTGAGGCATCTAGACCTCCCCTGGACGTGCCTAACTTGTCTAAGCCTCCAGCGAACCCCATACACCCTCCAAACTGGGTCACTACGAATGCTCTGGAATTTGTCTCCAGGCGGCCAGCAGAGTTACCGACCGACACAGCCACAACCTGAACTTTAACTAAGACTGGGATCCCCATAGGCCAGGGCTCTGGCCCACATCCACAGGTATTTTTGCCCGAGCTGCTGGCTGAATTTTTGAAGCTCTTATGTTTTTGGTTCTCAAAGTTTCTTGGACTCTTTTACATATGGATGCACAAGACAGAACACTGATCGATTTGACCCCAGCACACGCCAGGAACACTCGGACCATATGGTTTTTCCCTTGTTATTTGTTGCCTCCATTTACTATAGTTTCTTTTGTCTTATTAGTCATACCACAAGTAAATGGAACTAGCATGTTCTCTATTACTAACATATAAAAAGGCAGTTATAAAGATGGACTCAATTACTATATTAATGGAAAAGCGTAGCCCAACAGCTAAACTTTTAGCATAGACAGCCCCGCAAGACTAAGCACTGCTTTAGATCCAATTACCATAACCACAACCGACCAGTATGTATTTAACTGCATTTTCTAAACATCGATACAAGAAAACTTAGCCATGACACTGTTTGAACATGTAGCTGGTAATCTGGGATTGTGTCATTGTCCCGACTAAGCTATCGGTCCATATCTACATCTCTGACTGCTACCCAGGGTCTCTTTCTTTTTCTTTTCTTTTCTTTTATTTTTAATTACTGACAAATCCTACCAGAACAGGTTTATTAACCATGAAAATCGCAAAACCATGCGCCATGTCATGATACATGAACCTCATGTGATAGCTTATATCACCCTTATCTTAAGAGTGTATCTCGTTAGTTAAATCTAGTATGTTAGCTCAGGTCCCGAACCTGTTAGAATTATACCAAATAGACAAAGTGACTTATCAACCTTATATTTAACTATTAATATGCTTAATAAGTTTAACATGTTACCTCACATAAGCAATGTATACTAACCTGTTAATTTCATGTTTAACAAAAATGTGCAAATGTATCATGCCACGAACATGTCTGCATTGACCTGCCTGTGTTTGCTGTCGTGGCTACACAGACATGCATGTAAAACCTTCTGCACCAAAAATAAAGAATTTTAAAAAAAAAAACATGACTAGGTCTTTGATATTTTCAAGTATGGAAAGTGATATTGAGACTCCTCACTTAAGAAGAAACAGTAGTCTTCTTTACAGATATTTAGAATTCCCAAAAGGAAAAGGAGGTCCACACGTTTTTTTTTTGTTTTGTATATTTATTAAACAACAGCAAATTATTAACTATGTGCATCTATTATTATGTAACACTGATAAAAAAAACAAAAAAAAACGTTTCAACCAAAATTGATGAAAATCCAAAATGCTTATGAAACAAATATGTGGAATAGAGGAAGATTGTACAATTTTAAACATAAATATGTTATTATTGTATGATTATTTAGTAGATACTCTATCATGTTGTTCAATGTTCATTTTCTATGGACCCTTTTAAGTGAGTGATTGCATGTAGTTAATAAAGCTGGGAGTTTTGCCAGACAGGGCAGATCTATTGAAAAAAAAAAAGAAAAGAAATCTTTGCCAGAAGCTCAAGGAAACAAGGTGAATGGTTAGAGTTAGGACCCACCTGGGGGGGGTTTGCCTTGAAGTTGGCAGGTGGGCTTTTCCTCTGGGTACATTGGGTACATTGACATTGTGGCAGGCTTATGCAATGTATGATCATATAATGTAACAAAATCCCCATTATTTTTGCCTAGATTAGGTGTTTTAAAAAAAAAAAAAAAAAAATCTGTCGGCATTGAAGTTGCTGGATAAGTGAGTGCGCTGAATCTTGTGTATTGTATAATTTGGCCCCCAGCAGCACCCCATTTATGAATGTTCAGGTGAGTGCAGCCCCCTAGTTTCATACACAGGGGCGGACTGACCGGTCAGGCACTTTGGACATGGTCCGAGGGCAGTGGTGTATCCTGGTTTTGTGCTGCCCTAGGCAGGACAAAACTCAGGCGCCCCTCTCCCCCCGCGCCACCCCCACCCAACCCTTACCCCCTGCCCCACCTTCTAAATACACACACACACACACACACAGTCAGACACACACACAGACACACACAGACACACAGTCAGACACACACACAGACACACACAGACACACAGTCAGACACACACACACAGTCAAACACAAACACACAGTCAGACACACACAGACAGTCAGACACACACAGACAGTCAGACACACACAGTCAGACACACACACACACAGTCAGACACAAACACACACAATCACTCACATTAACACTTTTTTTTTATTTAACCCCCCACTCCAGCCTCCTTGCCTTTGGGAATGTTGGAGGGGGGTTCTCTTTCTCCCTTGGGGTACAGTGGCTGATGGTCGGGCGGGCGGCTGGAGAAGGAGCACTTCCTCTGAGTTCTCTGCTCAGCTCCCTCACGCGCTGCAGAGTGAGGCTGGGAGCCGGAAGATGACGTCATATTCCGGCTCCCAGCCTCACTCTGCGGCGAGCGAGGGAGCTGAGCAGACAGCTCAGAGGAAGTGCTCCCTCGCCAGCGCCGCCCGCCCAGCATGTCAGTTAGCCACGAGGCTAACAAGACATTTGCCCTGGGCATTTGGGGGAGGCGTTTTTTGCCGCCCCCTGAAAAATGCTGCCCAAGGCAAATGCCTTGTTTGCCTCGCGGCTAATACGTCCCTGTACGAGGGCCCGGCCAGGAGGGGGCCCTGCCGCCAGGGCCGCCATCTGGGGACTTCGCAAGTAGGTGCCACCAGGTGGCTGGTCTGGTGGCACACTCTGAGGGTGCCGGCCGCATTCCACAGGATGCACAGTATGCTGTACTGGGAATTGTGGGAACCGCAAAGGAGTATGAGAGAGAGCCATGCTCTTCCCTCCTTCCGTCCTCAGCATTAGTGACAGGAGTGCCGCCGGACCGGCGAGGCTGCCCCCGCCTGGTGGCTCCAGCATAGAATGCGTCCGGCCCCCTCTGTCTTCTCTTGGTAAATGGGAGGAGGGAAATAAAACAGAGAGGGGGAATAGATAGAGGCAGGGGGAGAGGGAAGAAACAGACAGTGGGAGAATAGAGATAGACACAGGGGGAGGGGAAGTAAAGAGACAGAGGGGGAGAGAGAGTAGCACAGGGAAAAAAGGGAGAAAGAGACAGAGGGGGAAGAGTGAGACACAGGGGGAGAAAGAGGGGAAATAGAGAGAAGGTGGAGGGGGAGAAAGAGACAGAGGGGAAGAGAGATGTGGGGTAGAGAGAGTCACAGGGAAAGGGGGGAGAAAGAGACAGTGGAAGAGAGACACAGGGAGAAAGGAGAGGGACACACAAGGGGAGGGGGAGAAAGAGGCAGCCTACAGCTCCACTGGGTCCTTCTCATGCGAGCACAGAGCATTGCCGCGGTTACCACGGCAACGCTCCGGCTCTTGCGAGAGTGAACTCTAGCCCTGGAGTTACGGGCTAGAGTTCATTCTCAACACTGCAACCATCAGGGATTCCTGGTGGTCGCAGTAATGAGAGTGAACTCTAGCCCCATGCACACACTGCCCCCACACAAACACCATACACATTCACACACTGCCCCCCCACACACACACACTGCCCCCATACACTCACACTGCCCCCACACACACTACACACATTGCCTCACACAAACACATACACTTCTCACCCATACACACACAGACCCCCATACACAGCCCCCCATACTAACATTGTCACACACATACACAGCCACCCCCATACACACATTGCCCCACACACCCTACACATTCACACACCCCCACACACACATACACTGAACCTTTCACACACACTGCACCCCTCACACATTGCACCACTGCTCCTATACCCTACTACAGCCCCATATCTCAGCAGACCCCAGGTAAGTTTTCAAACTGTTCTTAAACGGTTTGACTACTTACTCTGGGAGGGGGTTCCGGCCCTCCTGGCACCATAACCACTACACAGAGCAGCAGTGGTTATTGTGCATGGATTATTTTCTTAAATAATCTACAAGTGCCCCAGTAGCCCCCCCCCCCCTCCATGGCCCATTAGCCCTCAATTGTAGTCTCTACTGGGGTCTGTAGGCAACTGTTTCTAACAGAGGCTCTCTAATGGACGCTGAGATGGCCTCTGCCTTCCAAGCCTATTAGACTCCTGTGACAGACCCATCTGTCTGGATTACAACTGCTTTGTTCGCCTGTTTTGCCGGTTACATGAATTTCCCCATTCGTATGCTTTATTCAAGGGAATGTCGGTTTTGTCGAACAGAACTACCGAACGGACGGCCACCCAGAAGAGAAGTGTGCTGCTGGTTAACCTATTGATCCCAATTAGAACGTTGCGGTTAACCACAGACCCTTCTCAATTAAAACCGAATGCCAGGTGGTTGTCGTTCGTATGTCGACCACCAGGCGGCGGCCATCTTGTCCATGCGAACGACCAGCGATGTTCGACGATTATTTCATGGATCTGAAAACGGACACTTTTTCAGCCGAAAACCGCTGAAGCCGTCGACCTCCCCTTCTCAATCGACAAAAGTATACGAATGCCAGCCGTTCGGGAGATTCAACCACACGAATGGACTTAACCCAGATAGCCGTCCCATGGAGTCAATCGCATACCGAAGAACTGAAAGAGACTTTGACTCCATGGCGATTGAACTATGCGAATGGGATCTGAGCGCTATTCTCCAATAATGTGCACTCAGATCCAGGCTATCTGGGGATATGCAATATGAATGTAATATGTTTGGCAGTTATGAAGTTATGGATTTTCATGTGTTTTTGTGACTTGTGTTTAAAATGGCGATTGCCTCTGCTCAGGGCGATAATTGAGTTACTTCCCAATTATCCCCCGAGCAGAGGGGAGGGAACTGTACTGCATGCTGGGAGTATTGTGGGGATGTATGTCCAAAATGTCCCCATGTCCTTCTGTGATTTCAGTCTCCCATTTGGTCCCCTAGGGGAGTGTCCACCAAGTGGGAGACCTGCATAAATACCGGGCAGGTAGCCCACAGTAAATCAGTTCGTGTTTTACCCTCAAAGCGGAGCTTGGTCTCGTTATTGGGGGGATTTGGTTACCAGCGACTAGAGACTGCTTATTTGGATTATTTGCCGCTTGGGAGATATTGACGTTCGG